AGAGGTCAGGGCAGAGGTAGAAATACAGTAAGACCTGAGAGCAATCCACCAGCAGCTGCTGTTAGAAGCTTCAGAAGCTTCAGGAGCATTTAGACAAGAATTGACATTACTACCTCTTCCCAGTCCCTCCTTACAGTGAATGTGCCTGAATTTAGTCCCATGAAAACATTTACATAGTCTGTCCTCTCTCTCTCTCTCCCTCTCTCTCTCTCTCTCTCTGAATGGGACAGGGCTTCTCTGTGTGGCCCAGGCTGTCCTGGAACTCTATCTCTAGACAAGGCTGGCCTCAAACTCACGGAGATCTTCTTGCCTCTGGTATTAAATGCGTGCTCCACCACTGCCCAGCAAGTCTGTTTTCAGTGATCCCCTCTAACCCACCTCAGCTCTTCACTAAGGGAAAAGCTCGCAGCCTTCACTACTTCTCAGCTCAGCTTCCCTCCACACTCTCCTTGCCTTACCACAGGGTAGCTCCCTTTGCATAACAATTGACACCTAAGGAGCTCTCCTTTTGGTACAAAACTCAACCAGGAACAACCAACCAGGAAAGACATAAATGTTTTGAAGTCACATATTGGATTTTAGTAGTAAAATTATTAGATCATCAATGTTATAAAATTTTGTGAAATGATAATAAACAGAATGAAGGAAACAAGAACTTGCAGTTGAAAGAAAAAACACGATTAAAAGCTTTGTGGAAATTTTTTATATGAATATTCATCTTTTCCCCAAGAAAGACTGTTTCTGATATACATAACTACCAGTACTTGTTATTTAAATTGTGTATTTAAGCAAAATTACATTCATAGAAGTAGTTTATCAGTATTTCCTCTTCTCTGACAATGCATAAGAGTTGTGAAAAAAAATATTGAGTTTTTTCCTATTTCAGGTTTACTATTTTAGTAGACATGAGACTAAATAAAATCTAATTATCCAAGTAAGAAAGTAAATTTAACAAAATCTGAAGACGTAGCAAGACATTTTGCAGAGTTAAAAGGCACAACAGTTCCACTTATCTACGTTTTCTATTCCATCCCTTAAGGAAGTACAGCAGTGCACCAGTTTCTCAGTGTGTATTCTTTCCGCGTGAACTACATGGAGACAACTAAATCTGTAATGCAATACAACATGGTCATATTAACTTAGTGGTGTGGAAAAGACCATCTGGACCACCTTGATGTGACTGAACTACAGGAGCAAAAGAAATGCCTGTGTGCTCATTAATTTAAGAGAGCTACTGGGTGTTCTTTTTTTTTTTTTTTTTTTTTTTTTTGGAGGGGGTGTCACATAACTGATGAAAAATGAGTAAAAGTGGGTATTGATTTTCCATGCATTGTAATAAAACTTGCAAAATTGATTTGTAAACTGTAACTCAATTTCATGTGCATTAAAAACTAATCAAATGACTTTGATGCAGCTCACTGATTTTTAACTTGGCAATTTACTTGAGCATATAAAAATTGTTAGTAGAAATATGTAAAAATGCTTTCAAAACACTTATAGTCTTACACTGATATCCAATCTTACTTGTGCAGATTGGTTGCTCTCATCTTTGTATATTAATCTACAATATAATGTTTAATATACTTGTATTGTGTAATAGCATTTTACCAGAGAAATAAATCCTATTTCAATTACTTTTAACATTATTAACTACTAGACTACAAGTGAAATCTTGGCATAATAAATAGCCTGCTTAATTCTAAATTGTTCTCCAACAAGCATTTTATCTCTATTTTCCTAGATGATAAAGGCCTTGAAAACACTTCTGTGTAAACTCAACAATCAGAATGGAAGCAACTGAAACCCTGTCTCAAAGGGTGAAATTGATAATAGGAGATATGTCAGTATACAGGGCATGATGTAGAGTTCTCATGATTTGTTTAGTTCTACTCAGTTGTAAAGTACATAGGAGTCAATACAGTTCCAGGAGGCTAAGATTACAGAAGTATAATGATCAGAGTAACTATATGTTTTAATCTAAACTAAGCACATTATCAACTCAGTTTATTATGTGTTTGTATAACTCTATGGCCATACTTGATTATTTTGTCAAAACTGAGGCAAAATAAACAAGGCCTTCCATGCAAGGGTATAGAAAGTGTTAACTGAGAAATCACTACGTCTATTATTACCTTATGCAGTGGAAACTGGAGAAATATCAACCTGGTTCAGAGGAAAGGAAAAGCCTCTCTGAGGAAACTCTTCTGGGCTATCACCTGAAGGATGAACTAAGTAGACAGAAGGAAAAGATCTAACAGAAGGGAGCCCTGAATCTGAAAGAAGCATGGGCCTCCAGAGGAATAAAAAAGCCATCATGGAGGATTCTAGAGGCCAAAGAGGAGAAGTAAAGATCAGGGTAGAGATTATGTATCTTCATTCTCCAAGAAAGAACTTACAGAGAGAAGTGAGAATAGTTACTTTATCCAATGTGAATGTTTAACAACATAAAACTCATTGTCTTTGGGAGATGAACAACACTGCTGAGAATATGAAAAAGGACCTACATTCGATGGCAAGGAATCAGTTCTACCATTAATTAGACAGAACGAAAGCAGTAAGACATGAGCTACCTGTCCAAAGTAGGAGTAAACACATCTGCAGATGTGGGAAACACAGGCCTACACCACTCTGTTAGCATCAGAAATTTCACATCTGGGGTTTTCTTGGAAACATTAGAGAATCTATAGATAACAAATTATTGTCTGGGTGCTTTCAGCTTTTTATTTCCTTTGAGGATGGAAGTTTACTTGAATTATTACTTTTTAAATCTATTTTTAAAAAGCAAACTCAATAGACAACAGATGTCTATAAAATGATGCAATCAATGCACGCTGCTTCCAACCCCCCTCACTGAGCAAATCCACTTTACAAATTCAGATTGTTTTTCCATATTTTTCTCTGCTGTCCTCCAACTTAAATGCACAAATAAATTATTAGGGTTTTTATTGAAAATAATATTATAAGTATATGAAGTCAAATGTGTATTACTCTTAAGAATACATTTGAACAACTTTGCCAGGTGGTGGTGGCACATTCCTTTTATCCCAGCACTTAGGAGGCAGAGGCAGGTGGATCTCTGAGTTAGAAACCAGCCTGGTCTACAGAGCAAGTCAGGATAGCCAGGTCTACACTGAGAACCCCTGTCTCATTTAAAAATAAACAAACAGAACATTTTAACAACTTTTAATTAGAGCATGAAATTTTTCTAGTATTTTTTTTTTTTTTTTTTCGAGACAGGGTTTCTCTGTGTAGCTTTGTGCCTTTCCTGGAACTCACTTGGTAGCCCAGGCTGGCCTCGAACTCACAGAGATCCGCCTGCCTCTGCCTCCCAAGTGCTGGGATTAAAGGCGTGCGCCGCCGCCGCCACCACCACCCGGCATTTTCTAGTATCTTAAGCCTCCCATAAAACACTATAAAATGCTATAATGGTTCAACCAGTGTCCTTTCAATGAAAAGTCAGATGGTTTCTATTTCAATGTCTTTGAATCTTAAAATGAAATCTTGCTGTGTCAAATGAAATGTGTGCTTTCTTTTTTATTTTAGCAGATAAATATAGGCAGATAACCTCCAAAGGGTCTGCAGAAATTTGCAATCCCAGCAACAAACCCTCAGGATAGTTGTTATGAATTATTATGTGGCCACCCTCCCACCCCCCACCCTCATCACACTTTCCACCCCCTACTCCCCCATCCCTACCCTTCCAACCCCTCACCCTCCATACCCCTCCACCCTCCCTACTCCTCCCCCTCCCTATCCCCCTCCCTACCCTCTACCCTTCCTACCCCCCCAACTCCTCTGCCCTCCCTAACCCCCCATCCTGTGCACCCAGAGAACCATCCTGGTATGATGTGGCAGGCTGGGCAGATGGCCATTAATTCACAATCCAGATGCTGCATCCATGTGGAGAGTTTATTATAATGGAGAAATGAAGAGAAAGATAGGAGAGAGAGAGAGAGAGAGAGAGAGAGAGAGAGAGAGAGAGAGAGAGAGAGAGGTCTAGGGTGTGTACCTTATGGAAGAAAAAGTGGAAGAGAGAGACAGAGAAAGGGGAGGAGTTTTTCCTTAGAATGGGGCTTGTCAGGAAGCAGGTCAGTGCCAAAGGGGTGGAATTTCAAGGGGTGAGTCAGAATATTAACAATAGTCAAGATAAATGTTGAGCTCCTCAGCCCTATTTCTTGCTAAATTGAAGGGAGAAAGATAATTTCCTTCTGTTTTAATTTACAACTCAACTACTAGTGTGTGTGTTTATTTATTTAATATTTTAATACTGGGTTCTTTAATGTCTGTTTATTCGGCTGTTATTTAAAAGCTTAATATTCACTCTTTAATGTTTATATTTAGATAACTTCTCAATGTCCACTCTTATGTAAGTGCAGTATCTCACATCACATTCTTAGATTTGGGAACAACAAATGTGACAAATACAAATAAAAATAAATAAACAAACAAACAAATAAATGCATCTTATCTTTACATCTCTTTTGTCAGCTACCATCAAAACTACCAGATGGATTGAGAAGCCTTTGGTATACAGTTGATCTCCTTTTTACCACACAAACTGGTCTTATAACACTGTTAAAAACAAAACTCCAGCATATCAAGCCCACTTCAAGCTCATGTCCTTCTCTACTACTATCAATACCTTTACTACCACACTCATCCCTGATTCTTTCTTATATAAATTGTGGGTATTTACTGGAACTAAAGTTTTTTTGTCATGTAAATAAAGTTTTTATTTCATTGAGGTGTTTTGTAATTATCAAAAGCAATAATATGTATATACTTATATAAATATATATATGTATATTTCATACTATCTCATAAAACTTTTTACACTATTTATCATTAAAGCAGAATAAATTAAATATAGATAGTTATTTGATAGTATTAATAGTATTAAGTACAGCAGTTCTTTCATATGGTATTCAAATATGAGTTATGTTTATTTTTTAATTATATATTCATAGAGTGAGAATACTCTTTTCTGTCTTCTTTTGTAGGGAAACTCTTTGGGTTCAAATTTCCCGGTCTAAGAGTTCTAACATACAGAAAGCAGTCATTGCCACAGGAAGACCCAGATGTGGTAGTCATTGATTCATCTAAACACAGCGATGACTCTGTGGCCATGAAACACTTTAAGTCTCCCACGAAAGAAAGTTGCAGTCCCTCTGAAGCAGATGATACAAAAGCCTTGATACAGCCTAGCCAGTGTTCTCCCTTAGTGAACATATCTGGACCTCTGGACCATTCCTCTCCCAAGAGGCAATGGGACCGCCTCTACCCTGACAGGCTGCAGTCAAGTTCCCAGCTAACACACTCCAGATCACGGGAGAGCCTCTGCAGCATAAGGAGAGCATCTTCAGTTCATGATATAGAAGGCTTCAGTGTCCACCCCAAGAACATATTTAGAGATCGGCATGCCAGTGAAGGTATGTTTAATTTTTTTTTAAAGATGGAAATATTTTTTAATTGGGTAATGAAAGTTTATTTTTACAATGTTTCAAAATTGAACAGTAATCTGCTTCTTCAAAGAAGAAATGTGATTAAAAGCTATTAAAAACACGAATTTTGCACTAAGGATCTTTTCTCATTTCCTCTTTGAACCCCAGTGAGTAATTTGGTTTCTTCTGGCTTCTTTATCAGTGTTTCTGAAATAGTATAACCATTATCAGCCTGCTTCCTGGTGTGTTAATTAATTAATGCTTAATTTAAGATGTGATTAGGTGATGAATTCTATCATCTTAAGCATAATTAATTTTGTTGGGTTTAGCAGATGATCACACCCTGAAAGAAAGAACAGTGTGCCCTCACAGCTATTGACCATCAGTGGTGGGAGACAGGTGGGAAGGGAAGGAAAGGAGAGGTTAGTGGGGAAACTCACTAGCAACTTGGAAAGCAGAATCAGAATTTATTTTCTCTCTAGCCTCTTGGATCACATTCCTAAATGAGCCAGAGTGAAAAATGTGCTTTGAAAGACACCACAGAAACAGTCCATCTTTAACATGATAATGGATGACATTGTTTGAGTAGTTAGGACGCCTGAGGCAATGTGCTTGACACACATTAAGTCTCATTTAAATCTCCTAGGTTAGGAACCAGTTTAAAGCTCCCTTGATAGGACAGTAAACAACTGCCACAGGGCAAGGTACTACCTCCCTGCCACAATTACCCCCTCCTTGACTCCTACTCCAGGAGACCTCCCTGTACATCCAGGGAGTCTGGAAGTAAGAGTAGCATGCCTGGACACTCAGACACTCTTCTCCAACCCCTTGGAGAATTGGATTCTTGAAAGGTCCCTTTCAAGTGGCTTTGCCACCAAGGCTGTTGTCAACTGTCTTTTTTTTTTTTTTTTTTTGTTTTTTCAAGACAGGGTTTCTCTGTGTAGCTTTGCGCCTTTCCTGGAGCTCACTTGGTAGCCCAGGCTGGCCTCGAACTCACAGAGATCTGCCTGCCTCCGCCTCCCGAGTGCTGGGATTAAAGGCGTGCGCCACCAACGCCCGGCTTGTCAACTGTCTTTTTAAAACCATGTCCACCCATGAGGTTCCTTATGGCATAACCATTATACCCCATGAGAAAAGTTACTTTTTAAAATTCAATTTAGCTCCTTTGGAGACGCCTCACACCAAGATGATTTGCTAAGTCACAAAGCTATACCATACATTTTCCTCCTTCATTACTTTGTCTAAAATCCTCTTAGCTGTTTGTTCCCTGTTCGTACTATTACTAAACCCCAAGCACTGGTTTCCCCCTTCCCAAACCAGAGGAATCAAATGATTTCCTGAATGAAATGAAGCCTGAGTTTATTACATCCTATAGTTACCAACATATGTACATATAGGCATACATGCATGTATATACATACACACATGTAGAGATATGCAAATATAAATCAAGTATAATTGTAAGGGAAAACAATAAGATGTCATGAGCCACCCTTGACCGGCACTTTAGTGTCTGTAGTTCTGTAGACTTAGCACCCAGCCTAGTATTCTACTTATGACAGATACTCAATACCATTGCCTTGGCATTGAGAGGACCATACACATGAATCATTTTCCAATATCCTACTCATAAGGATATAATGAGTTCCTTTCTCCACATATACTGATTTAAACCAAAGCCTTAGTATTGAATCATGTGGAGGATCTTTCTAAAGGGCACAGTGGAAGAGAAAAGACAGAAGAGCTGAAGGAAATGAATTTGGTAGGAGCGCAAGGAAGGAATTCAAAGAGAGATAGAGGCTGGGTGGTGGGAGGAGAGAGGACAGGGGAATCCTTGGCTAAAATGTAAAATTAAATTAATAATAAAATAAAAATATTTTAAAAATAAAAAAGAGAGAAAACACTGTCTCAGAACAAACAGAATAGTTTGGAATAAGACAAATTGGAGAAACTACATTACAAGAGCAATTAGCACATCCACTTTAATCTATGGTCTGGAGAAAGTCCAAAGAAAAATAAAATTAAAGACAGTTCCCAAGCTAGATAATTATGTTCCAGACCACCTAGGAACAATGGGTTAGGTATTTTCTGACTGAATGAACTGTATAACTGGATGTTTGAACAATGAATCCTGTGGATGAATTACAATAAATTCAGTGGTGTTTCAAATAAACAGCATATGCTTTAGTCTGTCCCTACCAGTTAATATACTCATCTTTAACAAATATACTAAATCGTCAGAGCTTTCCCATAGGAAACTGAGTTCATGATAATAAATTTGAAAATCAAACATGTCAGACTCAACACATCCTGCATGCTTCACCCGTGTTTCGATGGAACTTCTCAGTATTGTATATCAAGTTTTATAATTTGTGTTTGTTATTTTCTGCTCAGGTGGCCTCCACATAGTACACAGTTACTAATACAATTATAGAAAAGGGTGACGATGTTTTTTTTTCTGATTTCTCAGTACAGGATCTGTATATAGATGCTTGGTGATAAGATCATTCTCAGTTTTCCTCCTCTCTTGGGACTAGAAACTTTCCCAGCAAAGTTTCACCCAAGAACCAATACCACAGTCAATATCCTGCAAACTGATAATTTCACAGGGCATTCAACCACCGTACTTCAACCATGAAATGATCTTCCCTAAAAATCACTGATGGGCTTTAAAGGAACTACCATTCCTGGGGCCATATAACTCTATGTATTTGAGAAAGTGAGCATAAGTAAAAATAGATGGGAACCTTCACAGTTGATTTTAGTTTTATGAACCCTTGAAAATGATTAAGATATAAAATCCTAGATCCACCAGAGTTAGAGTTAAGATCTTCTCATTCCAAAGCAGCACTGTGCTCTTGAAGTACTCAATCTTTAGAGTACTAAAAATATTTTATAAACATATGACTAGATGATATTTTACATGGTCTTCTCATTTATGTCTATTATTCAGTCAATATGTGACTCCAGACTAATAAATGTGTAGGTATTTTGTCCTTTAACTTCAGAACAATTTCGCCAAAAAATAAATCAGTTAATTAAATAAAACTGCTGATGGGCATAGAAGAAATAACAAAGAATTATCAGCTCATTTCTGCTTTCAATCTTCTCATTCTTCCTCAGTGTCAAAGCCTCACTAACTCTATGCTTTGTTACCAATTATCTTCATAGGATTTGGGTTTAGTGAGTACACACACACACACACACACACACACACACACACACACACATACACACACACACACACACACAGTGTGTGTGTATGTGTGTATGTGTGTGTGTGTGTGTTGTACAGTGAACATTATGTTAGTGGTTTTCAGCAGTGTTGAGGATCAAACCCAGGGCCACATAAATACTAATCAAGTGCTCTGCTCCCAAGCTAAGGTCCAGCCCCACTTATAGTTTTTTCTCACTACCTGCAAAGCAGTTACTACTTTGCTAATGACTGTAGACTACTCTGAGGGTGAAATTATTTCTATGTAAACACAAACTTATCCAGTGGTCCTTTTTTAAAAATGATGTATTAATAGAGAGGAGAAAGTTGCCACTGCAAGTCATATTTTATGCACATATTGATGTCCACAGCAATGTCTCCTCTAACAATTCCATAAACCACAGTATTGAAATTACTTTCAATATAAGCTTGGAAACAATTATGCTCTATCCCAAATTTTGAATATGCATAGTGATAACATAGATGGCAACAAATATATACATTTCTCAAATCTTGCATGTATTTGAATGGTTTGTTATGACTTCATTTATTTTAAGCTTGTGTATTTCAAAGCTGGTAATACATATTAATACATATTTTTAGTACCACATAGGAAACATTTAGATTTCTACTCTCAAAATAAATTTGAAAGCACTCTATGCCAAGATTTGAAAACAGGCTGCTTTCATATAAACAAATTTATAAATATTCTAGGATTTATGCGGTGTAACAAAATTGCAAAATCTTTTTATACAATAAAGTGTTCACTGATACATTACAATTATTTTTGCCTATGAATGGCTCATTAAACACTGCTTGGTATTTTTAAGCCAAACGGTAAAGAACAGTTGAGGGTTAGTAACCCATTGTCTTACAAACTTTTCACACATTAATATACTAAGGTTTAGGAACATGGAAAAATAATTTGACATGCAAAATGTTGTGTGGTTTTCTTTGATTTGTTACAAGCTACAGTTGAAGAGACATCAAAATTGGCTTTTGACAAGGTTGTAAATTACCACAATTGCCAGCAACTGTGCAGATCTTGCCCCAAAATGGTGTAATTATAAAATCTGTTACTTACAATTTGTTTAAATTAAGTGATGTGAGTATTTCACATATTTACGTTTATTATGGCTGATACTTCAGTTTGTGCATTTTGCCTTGTTAATGATTTATAATATTAACTGCAATCAAAGTTACATTTTCTGTATTTACATCCTGGTTTCTCTGATTGCTTCTACTAAGCGAGTTTGATGTGCTTAACATAATTTTAGTCTTCTTTTTTATATTTCTCTCTCTTTTATCCTTATACGCTCAAAACAGACAATGGTCGCAATGTCAAAGGTAAAGTATAAACTCAAATCCGCCATCTGATGCTTAAAGTGCCCTTTACTTGGCATGTTAACTGCCTGCTGTATGCCCTGTTGATGCCACATCTCCATGCTGCCCTCAGCTAGTCCAGGTGCCTGGTGGAGACATCATGGCTTGGTTTTGCTGGAGACATGATTACTTTGTCTGCTGTGCCATCAAAGCGATGATGAACACCTTTTCATCCTGAACAAAAGGATGTAAGATTGACGGTGAACACTTCATAAATATTTGGAAAGAAACAAGTATCAAGATGAATATATTCCAGTTGTAAAAAGAAGCACATAAGCTGTTTCAGGGACTTTGTTTTTTATTTTTTTTTTCTTGAGTACAAGGTTAAATAAAATGATCAAAGAGCTCTATGACAGCATCACTTCACTTGTTCCTCTTTTGTTTCCTTAAAACTAGTTTCACGTTCCTGGATGGCAGGGGGTATGGTTTTAAGCTTACTGTAGTAGTATATTGTGCTTGCATGACAGTCCTTTTCTATTTTTCCTCTATTATATTTCAACCATTTTAAATTGCATTCTATATTATTCTAATCACTGGCATGGTTTACAGCTACCACAGGGCACTATTTAGCTGGGAGATATTCTGTATAAATTTGGATTTGGCTAAAATTTGAAATCCCATTCTGTTTCGGCTTTCACAGTAGATGCAAGGATCAAACTTTCGGCTGGACCTTTGGCCATGCATGCTGCTGTGGGTGTGTAAATGGTGGCAGTGATCCATTTCATGCATGTTTGTTGCATGGACATGTCTCCACCAGTAACCATCATGACTCAGAACTTGCTGTCTCGGCCTCTTCTTTATGTCACTGGTACTCTGACCACTGTGCAGTTTTGTGTATTGACTTCTTAATTGCCTCCCTAATTAATTAAGAACTGCTGTGGCTGATGAATGAGCAGTACTAGAGACTGTAGATGTTATGTGATCAGAATCCCAGGACAATTTGGAAATAAACGAGATGATGAAATTTTCCCTTTGCCTTTCCTATCATTTTGTAAGCAAGAAAGGTCTGTGCAGCAGCCCTCCATTACTGGGATGGGGTTTTATCTACATGGCTATTCTGTCCTTGGTCTGTCCATTATGACTTTTAAAAGGGAACAAACTAATTCTAGTTGTGCATGGTAGTTTTAGTTGACAATTCACAAACAATCCTCAAAGGGAACATAAAGATCTGCTGCCTGCTTGGTCCTTGGAAATACTAAAGCTTAAGATGAATAAATGAATACACATTTATTTTTCCAGTAATTTTTTTTTGAAAACTAACGTGAGAAATGAATCTAGTTTGTTTGAAGTATGTAGAAATTAGACCAGTTTGTCTCCTAAACTAGTAGTCTGGTAATGAAGATATAATTCAGGGGTAGACCATTTGTGTGTGTGAGCTCTGACTAGATCTACAGTACCCAAAGAAATAAAGGGGGAGAGAAAGGAAGAAAGGGAGGGAGGAAGAGAGGGGAAAAAACTACCACCAGTTAATCTATTTGTAAAAAAAAAAAAAAGCCATTTTATTTTAATTCCATTAACTATTCCATTATGCCAACTTTTATTCTTATTTCCTCTATTTTATAATAGAAATCCCAATTGCCTGATTGAAGCTTTTGTTTTGCTTTTGCTTTTGTGTGTATGCATATAGTTCAGATACACATGACTTTTACACTTGCCATTTTCATAAAACTACAAATAGATACAGGATAATGTGGCATGTCCTAGAAACATAAATAAATACTGACTCTAAGCCATAATAAATAAAATATTAAATAAAAGAAAAAATACATTTCTACACTCCTTTGAACACAAAATGTATCGTTACAATTGAGGATCACCCACTTTGACCAAATATCATTTTCCTACAAAACAGCATAAATAAACTCATAATGAGACAAGGGATTGCAGGATTGTCTGAGTGATCCCCTTAAAGCTGAGGTGCTGCCCAACTCCTTTGCACAGGGAATACAGACATCTTTATTTTCAGAAAAGGCCATACGTTAACTATCTTGGGAAGTCTGTTTTAGAACCCCATCCACAGAGAACCAGCACTAGCTTAAATCCTTCCTCCTCCCATCTGTCCCCAGTGGACAGAGATACATTCTCTGGCTTCAAGAACTCTAAGCATAAAATCTCACCTCAGAAAACAGCAAACTAGCACTCAGCCTTTTCTTCCAAAACAATTTCCACCCAAGCTTTTTCCTGAGGTCGATTCTGTTTCCCTTCAATAAGTTTCTTTGGCACTCTGACACTTTAAACAACAGATAAGTGTTATTTTTAGAAACTGTAGCCCCTGTCTGAGGAGGAGGAAAGCTACTTCTAACAAATGGCAGAATAGGTTTAGATAATATAATCTGAGGCAATATCTCTAGAACATGAGGAGGATTCCAGTGTTACTTTCGTCACTTGTAAACCACCTCACACCCAGGGGTCTGTTCACGTGTTCTGCATTCTAAGAAAGAGACACAACGTTTACTCCTCTCATCCTATTAAATAAGTCCTTGAAAAAAATCGGGCCCCTATATTGTTTCCTAAGACCCCAGATTTCTATTCCATATTTACCAGTTTCCAAGTAGTGCATGACACTATCCTGAGTCAGAAACTAAAATGCTCTCAAGATTGCTAAAAGCAATCACCTCCACTGTAGCCAGGAAACCTAACGAGAGAGAGAAAGAGAGAGAGAGAGAGAGAGAGAGAGAGAGAGAGAGAGAGAGAGAGAGAGAGAGAGAGAGCGCTGACAGAACTAGTTTCTCATAAGTTGTATTGGCCTTTTCCCAGATGCCTCTGATCTTACCAGGATTTGCAAATTGACTCTTAGTGGTGACAATTTGTCTGGCAAATTATATGTCATGCAGTGGAACAGAATTTGTAGATGCTGAATCCAAATAACTTGATGAGTGTTTCTTTATGTCTTTTTCTGAGTGCTACAACACTTTTTGGCTGGTGCTTATTCATGGGGTTCTTTGGCAAAGCTTCATTGCTAATGCTACATTGGCATTTTTACTAATATTAATATGCATTAGTGATGTGTTTTATTACATTTAACAAAATAAACTCAATGTCCTAAGAAATACTGTACATGTCCAACAAGATAGCAAAGTAAAGGCCCTTGCTGCCAGAAGATGCAAGCCTGACAACCTGAGTTGGATTCCAAGAAACCATGTTAAGTCACGTAAAGAGAGAACCAATTCCATGAAATTGTCCTATGATGTCCATATGCATTTGTGCCCATAAATTCAAACACACACACACACACACACACACACACACACACACCACCACCACCAACAACAACAACAACAACAACAACAGTAATAAATAAGCACTTTCTTACTCCTGATAAACTTAAATAGTCTCATCATATATATTTTAAGTATTTTAAAATCTAAAATTCTTCTTAGTTATTGCTGAATCTCTATGCATCATTGGAAAAAGTAGCTCATTTTATAATTTCACCAGGCACTAGTATTAAAATTCACCCAACTGTTGCTGCAGTCGACCTGGTCACTCGCTTTCCATTTTCTAATAACACACACTGGCATATTCACATTGTTATCCCTTTTGCAAGGGTCCCTCAGAGACCATCAGTCTCCTGGTACACTTTTGAGTCTCATATTCCCTTCAACTGAATCTATCCTGTCCTTTTATTTCTGCCTGCTCCTTCTCTTTAAATTCATTGACTTTGTTTTTCAGGCTACTCTCCTTTCTTTCATTAGAATCCCCAATCCCATCTGTTCATGATCATTGTCAGTGAGGCTGCCTATCAACTCTAAGTCCTCAGCCAAGGCCTCTCTGAATGTAGATCTAGGAGGTAGGAAACCTTGTACTTTGATTTCTGGTCTTTGACTCGTACCTTTTGGGCCTCGTGTTCTGTCGGCTTAGTTTACAATTGGTGAAAAATAATATTACTAATCCCTGCCTTAAAGCATTGGGAATTTATTCCATTGGAATTTATATAGACTTCGGAGAAATCTGTGAAGACTATAGTTTGCAGAATCTAAAAGACTTCTGGTGTAAATATTTGATTCAAAGCAAGAGAAAGAAGGACATTGCTTTGTCATAAAGGAGAAAATAAGTTTGAGATGCCTTATCTGAGTGAGGGTGCATAAATCATTTTAAATATACTGTTATGCTGAATTCACTAAATATATTCATTCAAAAGAAAGTTTTCATTAACTCCTTTATTAACAAATAAAATGAATTGACAATTTCGAAGACGTTTTTCTATATTAAATGAGAGAAGCTAAATTAAGGACTCTAAAGAGTATGTAAATTCAGAGGTGCATCTGAGTAAGACATTTTATCAAAGAGTTTCTCAGCCCTAGCTCTAATAATCCTCTTCTCAGCAAGTGTTTTGTTTTACTCACTTGACTTTCCTAAAATGGAATTCAGAGATAGTTAACCATTTCTAAAATAATAGCATGGTCCTCTAACTAACTCTAATACAAAGATTCACAAAGGCAAAGCAGTTTATGATCATATAATATGTGTATTACTATGCTAGTGTTTGAATATAAATATACTGAGGACGTAATTCAATAATTACAGTAGAAAAAGTTGACTTTCAGGAAATTAAGAATATGATTGAACACTCCTTCTAAAAATAGTAAAATGAGAAAGCAGTCATATTCAGTGATAATAAATTGGGTTTTAACAAATTTCTAAATGTGTTAAGTACTCCAAAGAATAATAAACCAAGAAAACATGAAAGGGAAATTAGGGAGTGTGATATTCTCACAAGTGAGCAGTCCTTCCTTTTAAGCATTCTTTCAAAATACTTCTCTATATGATAAAATGTAATGACAATGACTTATACAGAAGATAGACACATTATTCAGTGTTAAGATATATTTTCATCTTCATGTTGAAAACTATCTTGCCAAGCACATGCTTTGTTAAGAATGAGTAGTGCTGGCGAAATAAGTTTGCAGGTAAAAGCACTTACTTCTCAAGAGTGCTGAGTGGAGTTCGATCCTTTCACATTAGAAGAAGAAAACTAAAATGTTGTCCTATGTCTTCTACATGTGCTCCCCAGTATATTATAGCATGCGTGCACGCATGTGCACACACACACCACAAATAATTAATTAAAATTTAAAATAAATAAGATGATGAGTAATAGTAGGCAGAAATATCCGTGGAAGCACTATAAAGAAATTGTGGAAGGTCTCTAGAGTGTTATATACTGACACTAAAAACCATACCACATGTTTGGCATTTAAAGTGTGGGTTTCCGTTTGTGAGGTCACATGCAATTTGACATTTAGAAAGGGATAATGATGTAAAATATTTTAAAAGGCACTTTGTTAAGAACTTTAGTGTAATTCTGGTAGTTACCAGGAAATTTAATTTTGCTTCTAGTTATCAAAGAGGACTCAAATCTCTTATTTTACATATATGCACATGTCAGGTTTAGACGCAAACTGTCATCAGAACTCTAAGATTCTGTGTGGACCATTCAAATGCTACAAAGATTGCAATTCTAAATAACATGATTTTCCAAACTAGTGACATACTTCTAACATAATTATGTGAGGACATTAAAGCAGTGTATGATCTTCCATGTTCATGATAGGTGTAGTTCTAGAAATTTAATATCACTGCAACCCTATGAAGTATATTGTGCTGCTTTATTGGGAACACATTAGAGATTCAGACCATTTCAAGCACTGTAACTATATGAATTCATATGCAACAGGTTGTCAAGGTGGGAATAAGAACTGTGGTACTCAAAGTCCTCCATCATTGTGACAATCAAAAGGCGCCCTGACAAATGTCCCTTGGAGGCAATATTTCAGCCCCTCCATCCATAACTATAGCTAATTCTATGGACTGACCAGAAATAGCCATGAGGGGAATAAAACTACACTAACATATGTTGCTTGCCTTTCAACATCCTAGAGTAGCTGGGTAGAAAATTTCCTGCAAAAATACAACATAAAGAAGGGTGGTCTAGACATAAATTCCAAAGGTAGACAAAATGGTTTTGTTACCCTAGGTCTCTTAGTCATATCCGTAGGTGCAGACAAATTATCCAGGGAAAGAAAATACAGCATTTCAGTGAGAAGGACAACAGTGTCTAAGAAGCCTGAAGTCCTAGATGTGCTACAGATTTTAACAAATGTGCCTAAAATTGAGGCAAAGAATAGACAAAACAGGAAAACCCCATCTGAACAACATTTTTTATTATACTTTTTAAATGTTTTTAAAGCCTTCAGGCACCAGGGCTGGAGCACTAATGGGAGGCACCAGAGGACGGTGGTAGTAGAGCAAGGTCGGCTAACAACATGGGAGAAGGAACTAAAAGGCAGTCCTCCCCACCCGCCCCCACTCTCTCAGTGAAAGACATACTGAGTAACACTCATGCTCTCGGGAATTTTAAACAGTTAGTTCTTCATGATGCTGAGTTTTAAGAGCTACCATACCACATGGAGTAAGCAATTAATCCAGCACGTAAGAACTCCAGACCATTTCTTGACACCATAAATAGCAGATAATAGATTCATCCCTAAGGAAGATGGCATTGCTTGGGCTCTTCAATGAGGGAACCAGGGGGCTTGGCCTCTTCCCAGTTGTGTTTCTAAGAACAGAATGTCAAGGGTGTTTGGGAGCTTCCAACCCAGACATGCTCTGTTTCCTGACTGTGGTTATGTCTAGCTTAAGTTGTGTTTGCCATGGCAACATCCTTGTGTAATCTGCTTACAGGATTTTTCTTTTTTCTTTTTTAATGTAACTGAAAAATAAAATGAAAAGAAATATTTCAAGATCCCTAAAAGAATCCTGAAGATTTCAATAGAGTGAGAAAATATGAGTGTGTACACACACACACACACACACACACACACACACACACACACACATACACACACAACAACACACACACGAGACACTTGGTCGTTTTCGATTTCATGTAGGCAGGAATCTTGTAGAAACGCATGGATCATTTAATATAGGGGGTAGAAATCCTGAAGAAAGCAACTGGCTTGTCACTTCTTGATGACATGTGAAAGAGAGTAACTTGAGCCAGGGCTGTGTAAGTGAAACATTCATAAATTTCAAGACCAATATGATTTTTAACTTGGTCAGGCTTCCTTCTCTATGTCACCCCCAGAATAGGAAACAAAAACAGTAGAATCCAGCCAGGAGCAGAACATGAAGTGTCTTTTGTTTGTTTTATTTTGCTTCTCTTTTTTCCAGCCTTTAATAAAAGCAGCCAGTCCACAGCAGAAGCTGACATTTGCACTTCTAGTACAACAATTTCCCTTTTGATTCTCACGTGTCCTTCTTTGTGGAAAAAGGTGTTCACGTATAACCTGACTTCACTTAGTCATGGGAGTCACACCAGTCATGGATCATTAGCCAGGCATTCAAGACCATCTTTCTTTTAAATTTTTTTTTTCTATTTCTTCTGATACTATTCTTACAAATGCTCTCCAATTTTTCCAGGGCCTTTTAATCATATCAAGTCCAGTCTGCTGGGGTCCACGTCGGATTCAAACCTGAACAAATACAGCACCATCAACAAGATTCCTCAGCTCACTCTGAACTTTTCAGAGGTCAAACCTGAAAAAAAGAATACATCCCCTCCTTCTTCAGATAAAACTATTATTGCACCCAAGGTCAAAGAACGAACACACAACGTGACAGAGAAAGTGACCCAGGTAGGGCATTACTTTACACTACATTGCAACTGCTATGGGACTATTTGCTGGACCATAACGAATATTTTCTCTCTGATGAATAGTGGGAAGACATTTATCTCAATACGTTGAGATACTTAAAAACTCCTAAGGAAACATTAACAAAGCTGGCTACAGTGAGTTTTGTCTGTGACTAGACTGAGCAAAACTGAACTAACTTGATATTGTTTATTGCTCAGAGGTAATTATGCAGCTATTTGTCACTCTCAGACATTTATTGACTTGCTGCCAACCCTGACATTATAAAGCATTTTTAAAGAAATGGAACGGATGTGTGTACTGGAACTTTAGAGGTCTAATTGAGATTTACTCCTAACTGTGACCTCTCCTTTTGCACTTATCCCACTAAATTAAGCTGTATGCAAGCTGGTAGAAAGGAGAGCTGCCTGAGTTGATAAAATATTAGAGTGAAACAATGCATCTCACAGCCACAATATTTCATCATTTTTCAAATAAATATTGCAACCTGAATTACGATAAAGAGGCATTGCCCCAAAGTCTTGCCTCAAAGAATAAAGATGATTTATACTTATTATGTCAAAATAACCACCTAAGCAGTCCCTAGATTTTGCTTAGAGTGCATTTACTATGCTAGGGATCCACAACTCTAAAATTTCTCCAGGAAGCAATTCTTCTACAAACAATTTAGTTAGCATATTCGCCAGCAAGACTTTGTAATAACAGCCCAATAAAAAAGGTAAATTTGATCCCAACCCCTATTCTAAGCACTGGAAAATTTGAATTAACAAAGACTATTTTTCTGAACTGTAATTACCACAGGTAGTGCTGTATTGCTATTTGCACAAAACCCCTCGTAAATGATGAGATATGTATGACACCACTAGGCATCTCTTATGGTTAGAAGTGACCAACTTTTATTTGTTGGAGTTGATAAAATATGTGTGTCATTTGTGGTAGCATCCCTAGAATGTACTTTCATATTTGCATGGTAATAAGGCACACTACTATTGGTCTTTTCCTCTTCTTAACTAGTTAAGTAAATATTAGGCCGCTAATATAATAGAGTTAAATAAATATTCTATTATTATTCATATTGTATTGACATCATCTTGGCAGTTTTGAATTTTACTTACAACTTTCTATATCTTAAATTTTTCTTCTTAAGTAGTAACTAATACATAGATATATAGAAAGTAAGGTACTTAGGAGATGGAAGCAACATTGGCAATATTAGGGGTGTGGCTATGCAAGTGGCGTGAGTGAGTGAAGTTTGGAGCATAGCGAACATGATGAGGACTGGCCAAGAACAGTGGTGTAGGACTTCCCAAACGTAGTTCCAGCCAACTGTGGTCAGGCTGGAATGTTTGACCAGTGGATCTGCCCAGGTCTTCTCATTCCAAAAGAAGAACAAAACTTTAGAAATTAAGGTATCTTTACTTCTGATAGTTGAAAAATTAATTTGGAGGCCACCATAGCATTCCTTCTTAGGCACACAAAACAAAGTAATACCTTGAACATCCAGGGTATCGTGAGTTAGTTTGCCACAAGAACCCTTGTCCTACCACACCTAACCCGTCCACTGTTTCAAGGAAAGAGTGAGACCAGTGTGGCTCAAAGATGGCACCTTCTTTAGGAATTTCTTTCATCCTAGTGTAATGGGGATGTATGCACAAATATACATAGCATATGAATCTGATAATAAAATGCCTGTTATTAAAGAATCCAGGAACACAGTTTATGGAGGACATAACTGTGCTTTAAGGCAAGACTGATTAGAGAAGAAGTAACACTGAGACACTGCATCTGGATCTCAGAAGTAACTGATCAAACTAGGTAGTGTGTGATATTTAAATTCAGGAGTTAGAATCAAACAAGCTTGAGCTTAATGCTTGCCTTTTACTGTACGGCATAGAATTAAGTTTGAATTGCTTGTGCGAGAGTAAGACAAGGTTGAGGGCTGGCAAAACTTCTCAGAGTTGGTCAGGTGAGGTGGTGCAGCAAGAGTAAACAGAGGCAGATGGATGTCTGTGAGTTCCAGACCAGTGCCAGGGCAACAGAGTGGGAGCCTGTCTAAAGCAAAGCAAAAAACAAAAACAAACAAAAACCCTCACACTTGATAGTTGTATGTGGCAAATATTCCTCCTGGTGCTAAGTGCATAACAAGAAATGTGTTCACTCCATGTTTTTATGACTCTCCTCTTTATATGTTAAGGGTCCCTTTAGTCACATCCTCAGAACCTTCTAGAACAGAGGTAGAGTGGGCATCAACAAAGGTCTGCTACAGGAAAGAAGGGAAGGCAGGAAGATGAGGGGGAAGAAACAAAGGAAAGAGTTATCAAGGGAAATGGGGAAAATGCCCATATTGGAAGTCAGCAAGGACATAGTTACTAAAGCACAAAAGTCCATTGTGTCGTCTCAGAAACCTGGCAAAGACGAGGCTGGGAAGTTTCCCTTCTAGATGAGTCTTTGCTAGACTTTTGAATAGGTGAACTGGTAAAGTGCCATCAAAAACAGATTCCATCAAATACTTCACATTATTTTAAGATCTCATGCCTCATCTTTTAAATCCCCATGGCTCATGTACTTAGTTCCATAATGTTATAATATTGGTTTCAACATTACAGTATCTTTTATACCACTGTTGTCGGGGTTTTGTTTTGAATGTGTGTGGATCTCACATATTTTTTTTATTAAAAAATAATTGTGCCTTGGTTATCTGGTTCATCCTCCCACGCAAGCAAGACAACTCGAATTTGATGTCCAAAAACCACATAAAGTAAAGGAGAGGACAAACTCCATAAAGTTGTCCTCTGAGCTCCATATGTTGCTGTGGCATGTCTGTCTGTCTACCCCATACATATCATTTACTCACACAATAATAAATGAGAATATTTTATTTATTTATTAAATGCATGTATACACCTTGACTATACCCATCACCGCTCCCTCTCCAATTCCTCTGAGACCCTCCCTTATAGTAATATAAGAGGACGTGAACCTTATAGTAATATAAGAGATTCATGTCCTCTTATATTACTATCATTATCATTATTATTTTTATGTAACCCACTGAGTCCATTTAATGCTTCCCACATACTCATGAGTGTGAAGTAACCCACTGGGTCATAGGCAATCTACCAGTGGCCACATCCACAAAGTGACTCTTCTTCATCCAATGGCTATCAGCTGCCAATAGCTCTTTAGTCCATGCTGATCTTGATCTTGTGCCAGTTATTACAGCATCTGTAAATTCAACTGTGCAAGGCTCATAACATATCTGCAGGCCATCATTTCACAGCATTCCTCCCCTACCTCCAGGTCTTACATCCTTTCTGTTTGATCTTCCACAATGTCTCCTGAACCTTTGGAATGGGGCTTGATATAGCACTCTCACTTACTTGTTCTTAGCACTTTGAATGAGCATAATCTCTTCATTATCCTCTACCCACTGCAGTGAAGGAGCCTTTCCAGGGCTAGAAAGATGGCTGAACAGTTAAAAGCATGTAGTGCTCTTCCAGAGGACCTAAGTTTGATTCCCAGCACTCTAATCAGGCAACATACAACCATCTGTATCTCCAGTTCCAGGGGATCCCAGATTTTCATCTGGCCTCCATGAACACAGCACTATATGTATGTACCACCTCACTTCTCATACTTATATATGCAATTTAAAATAAAAATAAGGTCCTTTTTTTTTAGGAAAGAAAGAGAAAGTTCTCTTACAAAGGTTGAAAGCAGTACAAATACATAAACACACACACACACACACACACAACTTGTGTCATTAAGAAATGAGACTTCTGAGCGTTGATTACGCCATTAGTGTGTAGCCCTCATGAACTATTTTGAAGACTACAAACCAGCTTCTGTGCCCCATTCTGTCAATCATAACACAGAGAAAGGATTGCTGCCTTCATCAGGCACCAAATCTGCCAGGGATGTGATCTTAGACTTCTCAGCCTTCAGAACGGAAAAAAAAAAAAAAAAAAAAAAAAAAATTTACATTGTTTATATACTATCCAGTTACCAGTAGTTTATATTATGGCAGTCCAAAGAGACCAAATGCTTACTGCTCAATGCATCTGAGGCCCACAAAAGGGCTCATCTTTGCAAAAATTTTGGAGTACCCCCATCTCTCACTCTCCAAATTTCCTTAATAAAGAGCAGGTACAGACTTTTCAAAGGGGTTAAGAGGTTAGAATGGCAACCTGCTTATAAAGGAACATGTTTTGTAATATGAATTTCCAGTGAATGGAAATTCCTCTGGATTGAGGACACAAAGTGTGAATGACCCTAATTGGGAATAGTTCCACACTGGCACTTAGTAACAAATCTTTATTGTCTACATGCCAAAGCAAACAAGGCCAAGATCAAATACAAAACAAATAATCGGCCAATATAAAGTTTAATATTGCATTAAAGTACTCTGAAACTATCCTATGACTCTGAGACTATCCTGGTGTTTGGGAAGATTCCTAACCATAGGTGTCGTTGAAATTTACATATTCATTTGATGCAGCTCCTTTGTCCCCCCAGTCACTAAAACTAACTTGGTAATGACATAAAACTTTATTTCCTCAGTTAATCTTTGGAGAGTCTGTGTTGGAAGATTATCAATATTATAAGTTTTGGATAATCAGCCATATTTTCTTGTCAAATCTTGTGTGCTAATAGATTTGCATAAGGTTCTTTCTTCAGAGAAACCAAGCTTTTGTCCACAAATAACTCAACAGTGAATTTAAATATTCTTTAGCATACCAACAATAGAGCAGACATCACCAGAATGAGGCATAACTGAAAAAACCAATAAATGCTCTTATTTTTGTCTCCTAGTCTCTTATACACATTGAATTAGAATTAGCCAAGTAGCTTTTTTTCTCTCCAGTTAGATGTGTTTCTTTGCAGCAGAGAGCCTATTGTTAGTCACTCAATTATCCATGCTTTCATGCAGTTGTTTATACATTCAACAAGAACTTACTGAGAGAATACAAATGTAACAT